TATATTTCATACTTTTAAATATCATTTATACCTTGCTTTATACATAAGTTTAGAAACTTTATAAAGGACCAGTCATTCTGTCGACGGGGTTTTTACAAGTTTTTGTAATATGTCTTGAAAAAATTTAGGAATTCTACAATAAGTAAAGCTTTATACTACAATTTCAACAATCTTCTTGTCTTCCTTCATATTGATTGTGATAACTATCCTACACACGTGAATCAATAAACAATTCTATAAAACTCTTTTAGAATATTAGGCTTAGGAAGATTTTTGGTTATCGTTTGCTAGTTGGTTTCGATACAATTCCAAGGCTAACAGGTTAGAAAGAATTATGAGAGAAAATGTGACATTTTGGCATGACAAATTGTTTTTTGTTTTAATAAAAATATAACATATCTGCTGGATATGTGGATTAATGTGTGCGCCAATATAAATTTTGTAAATATTCAGTGTTGCCTCGCTCTAAGCTTTCTTTATTAACTCAAATAAATGCTAATCAAAAAAATGCTAATTAATTTTTTAACACTACGTAAACTACTAATCGGAAAATTAAAAATAAACAAAAAATTAAAATAATGAAATTAACAGCTAAAAGTGATAATATGGCAAAACGTAAGAATGTAAATCATGTGCGTTGTCCACTCCCTAAATTGTCCGAAATTGATCTACAAAGGCTAACCAGATTTGGTGAAGGTAATTTATCGGTGAAAATCATAAAACATGATCATCATAAAAACAATTAAATATTCGGTACATGAAATCCTAAACGTGAATGATAGCAATTTAACTTTATAGGTATATATTAATGAAAATAATGAGCGGAATGTGTCTCGGGAAAAAAAAAAGTATGTATGCTAAAATTATCAATTCAAAACAAAATACATGATAGAAATTTATATTGTAAACTCATTAATATCACTACTACACACTTGAAATTTTACCTAAATAACAAATATCTCAAGGCCTTCCTCAGAGAATTTAAAAAAAATAAATAATTATCCCGATTCAATTGTGTAGTTTGTTATCACAATCAGAAGGTTGAAATGTTGAATATTATCTTTATTAATTTGTAGAGTCTCAAAACTTATTATTGCATTGACAATCAGGTCGAATTACAGGACTATTTATATACCAATTCTATGCTAATGCTTCTTATGATCATAAATAATGAAAATAAATAATGAATAATATAATAAACTAAATAAATATTAATAATAAAAAATTGATAAATATATTAAGCGTGTGCTATTGGGCGACTTATATAGCGCAGTTATCCGTTAGTCCGGCCTTTCTATTTTCGAATACGACCAATTGAAGTGAATAATTTACTTTATTTAATTTTTTTTTTTTAAGCAAAAATACCGTGCGTCCATAGAATCATAAGTTGCTGCAGGTTAGAATGATTGCTACATGATATATGTAGATGTACTGACATTTTCTATACATTTTATGTGCGAATTTGCAAGGTTTTTGATAAAGAAATTGAAGCCGATTCATGATTTCTTTGTTATGAAGAATATAAAAAGTTGAAAAAATATGTGATCGAAAATATTATTTGTATGAGAATGTAACACTCGATTTTCTCAGAATACAATTATTGAGGTATAATTGTTTTGGAGGGGAGAGCGTGAAGTGTTTATTACCAGAATAACAAAGCCACTGGTTCCCTTATTTAAAGGCGCAGTGGATTCTTGCGCAGCTTGTCGTGGAATTGATTCATAATTTATTTATTTAATTTCTCATATCTAAATAAATAGATTTACTTTATATTATCTTATTACATAAAAAATTTCGTACAACTTTATTCAATAGATCGTGGTTGCAGGATGTATTGCTTTTTTTTTGGTCACAAGATGTATAGTATAATCAGTGGCGCAATAAGACGTGTTGTGTTATGGTTTGACATAGATATTACGTCAAAAAGAAACATTGACGAAATTTGTTCAGATTGTACAAGATCGTTTTTGTGTGGCAAATAGAGAGAATATGAAACAAATGGAATTTTTTTTTTTCACCTCAAGTCTAAAAAAAAATAAACTTTAAACCTATCATTATCTTTCTCAAGAAATAAAGTAGTTTAATTCATATTTTGTGAGCAAATATTAAGCCCCGTTTGATCACGTGAATAACAATCGTATGATTATAATATTTACATCTTTATTTTTTTATTAAAATAAAAAACAATTCCAAAATTTCATTTTTTAAAATAACAACATCTTATCAACTTTTGTTATGATGTGAATATTTCATACTATTTCATTAAACCATAATGTGATTTATTATTATTTTTCACGAGTACATGTATTTAACCTAAATTGTAATTATGAACATACGGATAAAATGAAGAAGAATCATAACCGAGTATTAAAAATTCATTGTCAGCAACGAAACTTTAAATAATGATTCGGGTCAATAACACATGCGATACGGTATGAAGCTAATTTGAAATTCCCAGTTTTTTTTTTTTTTTTTTTTTTTTCATAATAGACCTTCCACAAAATATCGTTCTTATACATTGTGTTTCGATATTCATGTGGCAAGTTTTGATGAAAATCAACAAAAAAAAAAAAAATAAAAGAAAAGAAATAAAAAAAAAAATAGTAAAATCCTTACGTTGCTAATGAGGCTTTGAAACAAATAATTCAACGACATGATAAAGGAAAACGGGTTGGCTATTGTTATATTAAGCCCAAATAAAAAAAAAAATAAAGAGAATGCCACGCCCACTATTTTAATTCACACAGCCTCTAAATGTTAACAATTACGATTTGCTTTTTTTATACAACCATCCTTTTTTTTTTTTATTTCTTTTTTTGATGTTTAAAGAATTTTCTTTAACTTTTACCATTTTTTTTTAAAAAAAAGAGAAAAAAAAAAAGAAATAAAAAAAAAGCATATAAAGATATGTAAAAAAGACTCGCATCGGTCAAAAATTTTCTCCTCTGATCATTCAAAGACAAATCTTGCTTCCTTCTCGTTCAATAATTATCTTGTACTTAATATTTCGTTTCGTTTACCCTTTTATTTTGTTGAGCCACATAAACGAAGGTTGTAAGCATCGCATAGTGGCTCGTGATTCACCTTTAGCAGAAACGTTAAATTAATCAAAAGAGACAATTCAGATATGGCGCAAGATTCAATATCATCAACAAATTCCCTAATTCTACAAGCTATAGTTGGAATGCTAATAGGAATCTTAGGAATATTTGTAGGAGTTTGTTGTAGTTTCTATTGCCTGCGCAAACAAGGTTATACCTTTCCCACCGATTATAAACTCATGGGAAGAGGAAAAAACATAGTCGTACCTAAAGGAGCTGAAAAGCGTAAGCCGCCGCGAATACCTTCGCTCCACTTTGATAATGATAACGATGAATATTTAACATCGAATCCATCTGAACAAATTGTTATAGTGAGACATGGTCCTGCCGCTGATATTCCGGAAACCGCAGAATCTTTTCAGGATTTATCACTTTCAGTTCCTCATGCAGTTTATGGATCTGCTTCTGCTTCTGCTTCTATGACCAATATTGCCTCGGCCCAACAAAAATCCGCCCGGTCTTCTGATAATGAAAGTCAAGAAATGACGAGATCTCATTCAAGATGATCTTTTTTTTTAAAAAAAAAAAAAAAAAAAAAAAAAAAAAAAAAAAAGAGGAAGAATATTCAGCACGAATTGTAAATATCTTTTTGGTTACAAACATTTAGAATTAATGAAATTAATATAATAATAATTGAACGTAAAAAGCCATTTCATTGTATTTTTGTATTTTTTATTTTATTTTATTTTTTTACATTCCTATATTTTCCTTTTTATCTTAGTAACATCTATCAAATAATAAACATTTTTTGGTATTAATTACGTATTATTATTATCATTCATAGATTCCTTGCGTGGACTGATATCTCGTGACATGCTAAAGAGTATTAACGTCCGCAGCCGACGCGGACCGAAGCCACATGAGGCTATGCAGTGACTCACTCCCGTTATTTATAGAACATCAAAAAGAAAGTTACACTGCCACAAAAAATTGTGAAAATCAATGTTTTTCACGTTTTTTTATTATTTATCGAATAGAAGTTACGCTTTTCAAGAAATAAATGTCAAAAAGAAATTGTGAAAAAAAAAAATAATTTGTATTCTATGGAAATTACATTTAGAATGTTCAAAGATCATAAAAGAAATATTACCAAATTTATATAAATCATTAAAATATGACTAGCCTAGTCTTTAATTTTAAATCAGGTCATTGATTGAATAAATATGTACTTTATTTTTTTTTTTATTAAAAAAAAAATAATAAAATTTTTTATTGAAGTTTAAGAGAAGGAAAAAAAAAAGTTAAGAACCAAAAAGACCGAAAATCCATCTTCAATGAAGAAATTTTTTGAAACGAAAAATAGAATAAAAAAAAGTACAAGGTGTATAAATACTTTTTGTTTAATGAGGCTTCGCTAAAATATGATTTTTCTTGATCGTTTTCATTTTTCTGTCTAATCAAATTAACAAATTTCTTAAAAATGTTGGATGGTTAATTTGATCAGGTGATAAAATTATTAATTTAGGTTTATTTACTTATTATTTATTTATTATTTCAATCGACGAAATGAGATTACTGTTTTCGTAATGTACCGATTAAATAATTTTTCCCCCCCCCCGAAAGGTTAGATAGAAATATCTTCGATCAGGAATAAATAATAACAACAATGGTTAATTAAGAACAAATACATTATCGATATTATGGCTGTGTGGGTAATGTTTCTTTCATTTTAGGAAATAATCCATTTTATCTTAAACATTTTCCCTATTAAACGCATAGCCACGATCATGAATCTTTTCGGAAAGGGATTAATTAAGTAAGGATCACGGATTTTGTTGATAAAAAATAGTTATTTCCACACAATTTTTTTTTTTTTGTTTTAAATTTTTTTGTCTAGATTAAATAAGCACTTCTTTTTTTTTAAAAAAAATGGTTGTCATTTTTTATTTTTAATCAATCATGCGTTAAAGGAATAAGTTTTTTGTTTTTTGTTTTTTTTTTTGATTTTCGCTTAAGATAAATATCAAAAGAATTTTATTTCATTGTAATTTGTTCTTTTATTTATTTATTTGATTTTATTTTTTAGTTTTATTATCATTATTATTTTTGTTGAATTATGTGTCAGTATAATGAAGACGATGATGATAAATATAAATATGTTTATGATGATGATGAAGATTGCTTAGAATATTTTACGCATGAAGAAAAGTACATTCCAAAAGTTAAAGGTCATGACGATAACTCTTCTAAAGTAAATGATGAGAACGTAAAAACGGAATCATACGCTCCTGGTACAATTTATCAAGAACTCACCATCGCGGACGATCAAGTTTCGTCCCATTCATCAAACCAATCGAACGATCATCATCCAGGATTCTTTCAAAAGACTTCAACAATAGTTTTTTTTGTTATAGCCATAATATTGGTTTTAATTATCGGGATCATATTAACTTACTTCATTAATCGGAAAAGAAAGAGGATAGAACGTGGGCCCCGCAAAATTAAAACGTGGAAAGGTCCCCCAATAATCAAGAGTCAAATAACTCCAACAGGAACTACCACACCGGTTCAGGTTCCGCATCAAACACCTCCAACGTCTCAAACATCTCGACAATCAAAAGTGCAAGAATCTGCACCATATCATGTTCCCAATACTACAGACCCTATTGGAAGAGTTCCTTTACAGTCTCAATCGAGTCGATCTTCTTCAGCAAGTAGAGGGTCACTTTCAGTTCATGAACCATCTGACATCGAACCACCAATCATACAACAACATCCACAACATCCACCTGACTATTTTAATCCAATAATTGACAATCCGCTTATACACCACCCAATTGGTACGGGGGATCCACCCGACAATCCCGGACCTCCGTTGCCTCCTACTCCTCTTAGACGACCTTCTCGACATGGAAGTTCTCCTTATCGAGGACCTCACTAGAACAATAATAATCGCTAAAAAATTGTTAACACCTTTTTTTTTTTTAAACAATTGTATATACATAAATAAGTTTTATCTACTTAATAAGTAAAAATCGGTTTTAACATTAGTAAATAATTTAAATCTGGTAATTTCGAATTTTTTTTTTTTTTTTTTTTCCAGAAACGTGAAGTTATAACACGATGATTTCATTTATGAAAGTAAATTAACATTTTATACTGATATACTGAATCATTTCTTTTTTTATAAAATTTCTAATAAACAAAAAAAAAATTTTTTTCACTTAAAATTGAACGATAAACTACTTATGTTCATTTATTCGTGGCTTTACGTTATTAACAATATCCGTATTGAAGGCTTGATTTCACAGGTTATACAATAAATTCCTTGCAAGCTCACAAGGTTCCTTAAAAAAAAAACGAAGGGTGAGCCAATTCATTTATGTAAAAGGATGGACTCTTTTAATATAAAAATACTATAATGTTTAACACATAGTTCTAAATGCTTTATGAAGTTATAGAATGCCATTTTTGATTGTGACGGAAAAAAATCCCAATATTATTATATTAATGATCACGCTGTTACGAGAAACAGGCAATTCCGATTCCATTAAATTATATTATTAAATATTTTGTAAAGCATTTGAATCATACTTTTGTTAAAATTTACAAATTCATTCTTGAAATTTCATTATTATACTTAATCCTGATTAATGGTATTTATTCGAATTACATTAAACCTTTCTTTTTGAAATTTAATATTATTTTCCTTGTAATTAAAAGATGTTAAATGAAAAATATTCTTCAGTGATTGAATATTTTATTTTTTAATTTTTAACTCTTTTAGATCACTTTAAGCTACAATATTGAATATGAAGACAAGAAGAAGGTTGAAAGTGTTAATAGAAACTTTATTATTTAGAGATTAATACCCAAAAACTCTGTCAATCTACAGGTCTACTTATACAAAATTGCTAACTATAATAAATAATACATGTAAAAGTAACTTGGACGTTGCATATCTGATGTGATATTCGCCGCAGTGTGATGTCATCTGAGGCGCAACATGATCTGCGTCTAACACCGGGTAATCCATTTTATCTTAGATAACAAACGACATAGCCACGATCATGAATCTTTCGGAAAGGGATTAATTAATTAAGGATCGTGGATTTTGTTGATAAAAATAGTTATTTCCACAATTTTTTTTTTTTTTATTTTAAATTGTTTTGTCTGGATTAAATTAAATAGCCATCACCACTTTTTTTTTTTTTTTTTAATCGTTGTTATTTTAATCACTCATGCGTTAAGAAAAAAAGATATATATATATATATTTTTTTTGCTTTTCGTTAAATATCAAAAGAATTTCATTGTAATTTGTTCTTTTTATTTATTTATTTGATTTTACTTTTATTTTTGATTTTTTTTTTTTGTTGAATTATGTGTCAGTATAATGAAAACGATGATGAAAAATATAAATATGTTTATGATGAAGATTGCTTAGAATATTTTACGCCTGAAGAAAAGTACATTCCAAAAGTTAAAGGTCATGACGATAACTCTTCTAAAGTAAATGATGAGAACGTAAAAACGGAGTCATACGTTCCTGGTACAACCTATCAAGAGCTCTCCATCGCGGATGATCAAGTTTCGTCAGACCAATCAAACGATCATCATCCAGGATTCTTTCAAAAGACTTCAACAAAAGTTCTTTTTGGTATTGCCATAATATTGGTTTTAATTATCGGGATCGTATTAATTTACTTCATTAATCGGAAAAGAAGGAGGATAAGGATTGGGCGCTCCGTTTACCCCCAGCCTAATCCTAAAATTAAAATTAAACGTCACAAAAAAGGCGGTAAAACTTTTTCTGATACGTCGTCATCCATATTCCTTGAAGATCCAACACTCAATATAACTACAACCCCACAAAGGGAAATAAATATTATGAGTCAATATATTTCTTCAACAGGAACTACCACACCGTACCAGTTTCCGCCTCAAACACCTCAAACGCCTCAAACGCCTCAAACGCCTCGACGATCAGAAAGTTCAATTAGCACGCAAGAAAAATTAGAAAAAGTGAGTGACTATTTAACTGCACAGGGTGTGGATACAACAACTCCTTCTCAGAACATCCTAGAAGGCACGTCGGAACCTCAATGGGAATCTGAACCACATCAAAGTCCGACACAACAAGGTGCTACCAGTCCTCGTGGAAGAGCTAGTTCCTTAGAGCCTATTGGAAGAGTTCCTTCACACTCTCAATCGGGTCGATCTTCTTCTGAATCAAATCGAAGAATTTCATCACCTTCACATGAACCACCAACAGATTATCGTATAAGTCATGAGAACTTACCGCCGGTTATACAACAACCACATGACTATTTTCCCATAGGCCGCGTAACAATTGAAAATCCGCTTGAACAAGGTTCACAACCACCCGATACTACCGGACCTATGATGCCTCCTACTCCTCTTTCTAGACATTCTCGACGTGGACGTTCTCGAGGAGCTCACTAGAACAATAATAATCGTTATAACCCTTTTTTTCAAACAATTGTATATACATAATTAAGTTTTTTTATCTATTTAATAAGTAAAACCGTTTTTAACATTAGTAATTTTGAAAAAAATTTTTTTTCAGAAAGGTAAAGTTATGGAACATGATGGAAAAGTAAATTAACATTTTATACTGATATATTTATATCATTTCTTTTTTTATAAAATTTCTAATAAACAAAAAAAATATATATATATTTCTCACTTAAATGAACGATAAACTACATATGCTCATTATTTTACGTTATAAACAATATATTAACCGTATTGAAGGCTTGAAATATGAAGGGCTTGGTAATTCACGGGTTATACAATAAATTCCTTGCAAGCTCACAAGGTTCCTGGAAAATAAACGAAGATGAGCCAATTCATTTATGTAAAAGGATGGACTCTTTTATTATAATGTTTAACACATAGTGCTAAATGCTTTATGAAGTTATAGAATGTCATTTTTGATTGTGATGGAAAAAAATCCCAATATTATTATATTAATGATCACGCAGTTACGAGAAACAGGCATTATAAATATTTATTTATTTAATTTTGTAAAGCATTCGAATATCATCACACTTTTGTTAAACATTATAATAAAAGAGTCCATCCTTTTACATAAATGAATTGGCTCATCT